TTTTGTGAAAGCTATTTGCTCAATTTACTCTCTAGAGGAAGCTATGTTTTAAAATCCCAGCTAGTTAATAAGGGACTCATAGTCCATTTGCCAGAATTTCTAGGATTTTGTGTATTTGGGTTTGAAGTTGCAACATGCTTTATGTCAGTGGGTGCAATTTCCTAATTCCCAGTTCTTGTAAAAATAGTATAGTGAGTATGAATGGAAGCAGTTAYTCACTAAGAATTCATAATCAAATTCAACCAAAAAAATGGTAGCAATCAATCATCTATAAGATGTTTTATTCTTAAAAGTTCATGAACACTGTCTTGGATACTTGTCAAATATTAGGTCTTTTTTTTTCAAGCAGTAAGGCAAATAGAGTTTTGACTATCTAAGAAGCACATTAAGTCATATACATGTAATTACATCACTATTATTCCTGTTAACCCATTTTATTCCATCATTCCATATGTTGTATACCTACAAAAAAATTGAACCTTGTCATAGAAATATTTGCAGAATTGAAAACTTGGGACTATTGCAATGATAAGATTCTACTATATATTAAATGACAGTAATAAATATTATGAGGCTACGCAGAGTGAATATTCTGCTAAAAAAAAAAAAAGTACAAGGTGTGGAGGTAATGGTGTCCAAAGCATCAGAGCAAATGGTCACTACTAAGCACAATGTTACAAGTCTAAGCACACTATCATACAAATGCCTTCTCAAAATTATTTAAAATAGTTAATACTAAAAGGATTTTCTTTCTATTTTTTGCTTAATCCAGGTCAAATTTATGAAACAAGACATAAATGCTTCCTATTTCTGAGAAGCCCAAGACTTGGAACCATACAGAATTTTCATCCTAATATTTTCTGTGTATCATTTTTTATTGTCAACAAAAAATAATTTTAGGATTGCGCTGCTAGACCAAAGATAACTAGAGATTCCCTTTTCTTTTGTGTGCAAGCAACTCTTCTGCTCAAACTCTCATTTTCTTTCTTATATTGAATTCCTTGCTATGCTTAACCAGACATTAATATATCAACATTCTAAATTATTGGCACTTGTAGAGTATTTCTTAAAAGTACTGTAAAGCGTAATAATAAAGGAGAATAGAAACTTGAGGAAATATTTGAAAAGGCCTACACGAGACGCTAAATCTTATAATTAAAGGCTTCTGGTTTGTTGGAAGAGATCAGTGAAGAATGACATTCCCATATTGCTAACATTCAATTTAATATAACTTAATCAGAATTTCTTCTAGTCATTTATCTCCCACAATCCCTATGTCACAGAAAATTCTCAATTTAGTAAAGATTTAGTAGTATAATTTCCTTTCTTTTAATATCAAATATCTTTTGGATTCTAAAAATTCTTTTGAATAATTCAGATTCCAATGGTTGAACATATTATTTGAATTTTCTCTAAGAATTACCAAGAAACCATTTCCAACATAGAGAAAACCAATCAAAATAGTGGAGTTCCAAAAAGTAGAATAATCCTATTCTTTCCTCCTTAGCTTTCAGATATACTGGTAAAGAATACTGTAAAATAACAAGCTGTTATCATCATGTATCATCAAATGCTCCTATACTGCTCACTACTGAACTTAGAACTTAATATATATATATATATATATATATATATATATATCAACTCTGATTTTAGAGTTTATAGTTGACTTGAAGGAGGAAAAAACAATTAATGAATAACTAAGCTCAGACTTATGATGTAGTTATAATAAGAACATTAGATGTTCAAAGACTAAAGGGGAAATACATTTCAAATGGCTGGAGGTGAAGCTCAGTGRTAGAGTGCTTGCCTAGCATCCATAAGGACCATAGTTTGATCTCCATCTCCAAGTGAATAAATATGGAAGTAAAACCTGAAAACATAAAAGATTAGTCTTGGAGAAGGTGAAGGATATATAAAATAGTATGGTTTCTAGCTGGGTAACCTGGAAGTCTTTGGGACCTTTGACATCATTGTGGCCCCAAAGACAGAAGTGAATAGACTGAGAATTTCAATAGTTTAAAATATGATAACTGTGGGGCAATACAATAAAGTGGTTGACCAGACTGTGCAGAGCTCCCAGGGGGTATGTGTAGTAACTGTGATGAAAGTGGTTTGTAATCTGGAAACCATTAAAAATGTTTTATAGCAGATTCCCCAATGCTGTTACTTCTAATCCTGAATTTTCTACTACTTACTTCTGTCTCTTGTCTTACTTTCTGTACCTGATTACTGGAGAAGAGATTTTCTCTTATCTGCCTCAAAGAATTGATGTAAGGCTCAAGAAATCATGAGTACGGAAGAACCTTAACAGTTGCTAACCATTCATGTTTTCATTCATATTACATTACATTATATTTATTTCATTCATATTATATTACTCCATGGTATTATGACTAAAACCAGACTGCCTTTGACAGACAGTAAATCTTCCAGGTTATCAGGATAATGATGTCATTTTGTGGGTTATTTTATTGTCATTGGGAAAAATAGCAGAGTCTTTCTTTACCACCTGATACAATGCCTGTAAGACAAATGGCATCACTTTAAATTTGCAATAGAAACACAATTGCTTTTAAAGTGCTCTGTTTCCACTAATTCTCAGTGCTTTCATTCTTAGTCTCAAGTGATCTTTGGACATCCACATTCCTAACTGTCTTTGTACAAGAGCAACATCAAAGACGCCTAGACAGGAGCCTGACGWGGCTGTGGGCAAAAGCAATTTCAATGAGAAGCTAGGTTAAGTTACATACTGCTTCCTGATAAGGTTGGACAACCAAACAGCCCACTTCTTATGGGGACTTTCTTTTAACTGCTTGCCAGTTTTTTTTTCTTTTTATATTCTGTAAACAATCCATGGTGAGTTGATTCAGAGTGCCAATCAGGTGAAGCATGTAAATCCATAAGACTGAAAGGTGGAACTGGCAATCTCTTTCCATGATTTCTAACTGAATTTATCATTTAGTGTCATAACTAATTCACATGTTCACTTGAATTTAAAATAATTTGGAACTAACCTAAACACACACACACACACACACTTAAAAACTCAATAACCTGGGTCATTAAACTTTCTTCCCCCACAGTCTTAAGATAGTGTGATTTCTTCCTTGCAGTTAAAATGAATTTAATTGCTCAAGATCACTAGTTTTGTTTTTGAAGTTTTGTCTTAGCCACTTGAGTGAGGCTTATCTGTCATCTTTAGATACCTTCTAATCTCTAAAATGTKGATATAATAAATCCACAGTCTGCCTTCTACAGATCACCACTCCCCAGAAGGATGAAGGATTACACTGACTGAGTCAGGGTTGATGCTGAGGGTATCAGGAAGCTGTGCAGGACAGAGAACTTCCCACTTAGCTTCCCTCCCAGAGAAGATCAAACCTCCTTCCCATCCTCAGCCAGATACTTAAGTTTCCTTCCAGAATAAAAGTTCCAAACAGAAATGACACCTCTTTCTTGCTCAGCAATGGAAGTGCTATTATTCCAAGAAAGATGGGTGGAGGAGTTAATAAAATTCCCCAAGTTCACAGGGGACAAGTAAGAGTTTCATTCCATGACTAGTTTCTGATTGCCWTCATGTTTGCTGATTGCCTTTGCTGGCCTACTGTGAGGTCAAGGGTCTTGAGAACAATCCAAAAGAGAATTTAGTTGGTTGTCCATGAAAGAAAGCCTATGTGTCACATAATATCATACGTAAAACTGCCATGCAGTGATGGTCTGTTCATTAAAACCCCAGTTCTGTAAGTTATTTCACCACTTGATATTGGGGAGACAACTCTCAGCTCTGGACCAGGTATTGGAAAGAGCCTAGCTCACCACTAGTCATGAAGCTGGAAGGTTCCACAAGCTTGTGGGAGAGGCACCCCCTCCCCATCCCATGAAGGTATTTGTGGGAAATTAGAGTGGACTCTGTCTTGATGCCAAATTGATTCAAAGATCAAGCTTCCACAGGAGTTTCTTAAATTCATCAGTTTCCCATAGCTTCTCCAAATTATGTTAAATTACATATACACATACACACGTGGCCCAGGAGCCAGAGCCAGAACAGTGGATCTCTGATATTGGCTTCAGACCTCAGTCACCCTACACCGCAGCAGTCCCACGAAAACCAAAACCTTTTCTAATTCAAGCGTATGTTGAACTGCTAGAAGCGAGGTGTCATCTTCTATGGCAATTTCCTGCATGTGAGTTTTGAAGATTTTTGTTTGTTAAACCACCTCAAAACGCATATACTTGCTGAATTTACACGTACAGGATTTCCAGTAACTAGTTGATGTTGAAGCCAGTTCCTGCCACTTACTTGAAGCAGAAGTAGAGAAGAAACACTTTCATCTTGGTTTCTAAAGCTGACTGAATTCCAGAGAATCCTTAAGTAATCTGAGGAACCTTATAATGACGTGCCTGAAAGGAGAGAAAGGTCTTTCTGTTTAGCGCAGTTCTAATCACGGATTACATTTCCTGAATAATGATGATGATGATGATGATAATAATAATAATAATAATAATAATAATAATAATAATTTAATATCTACCGAGAATTTTCTAAAACCAAATTTCCGCTACTTTAGTTCCAGTCTTCCTCTCTAGATGGAGACCTCGCAGAGGCATCTGCCCTAGGTAGAAAGAGGTTACCCAGGAACGAGGTCCCCAAAAGATCCCTCCCAGTGTAGGGAGGGAGGAGTAGCGCCCTCCACTGTGGGGCGGGGCTACCAAGTCCTTTCCAAACCGGTGCTGGCAGCTCCTCCCCGCCACCCTCTTTACCAATTCGCCTGGTCTAGGCCCCCCTCCACAAGCCCCCTCCGCCAATCCCCGACCCCCGTGTGCAGGGAATTTCCCGAGCATCCCAACTTGAATTTCCTTCCTGGGGGAAGGGATGAATGCAGATAAAAGGAGTGCAAAGGACTCGAGAAAGTCACAGTGCTCTGGAGCCTCAAATCTCCGCGCCTCTTCCACGCTACGAACCCGCGCTCCCTCGCTGCGCTCTTTTGTCCGCGGTGATGAGTCTCCGGCCCAGCCTCTCTCCCCGCCTTCCCCGCCCTTCCCGGTCACTGTGCGCGCTGCTGGCGCTGCTGCTGCTGCTAACGCCGCCAGCGCCCCTGGCTAACGGTGAGAGCTCGGGACACACCAGAGGCACCCCAGCAAGACCGCGTGTCCCAACCTCTGCATCTGGGCCGGGTGGGGATGAGGGCTCTCCCAGCACCTTTCGATAACGACTCTTTCTTCCCCAGCTGGTCCAGTAGCAGGGAAAGTGGTGAGAGAACTGCGCTGCGTTTGTTTATCCACCACGCCCGGAATTCACCCCAAAATGGTCACTAATCTCCAGGTGATCGCCGCAGGCCCACAGTGCCCCAAGGTGGAAGTGGTGTAAGTTCTCCTGCGCTGCGGTGTCCACTTGACCTTAGCAAGAAGGGACTCCTCCAGCCTTGTCTTTTGCTCCTATAACTTAGACTTGCATCCTCCTTTTCTCTCTGTAGAGCCTCCCTGAAGAACGGAAAGGAAGCCTGTCTGGACCCTGAGGCTCCTTTGATCAAGAAAATCGTCCAGAAAATTTTGGACGGGTACTTGCCCCTTTGATCTTTACAGTTTCTTAATCTTTTCTCTGGGGTGGGGGGGGGGAAGGTAGACATCACAAGGTCCTTCCTTATTCTCTCTATAGGATTTGGGTACCACATTCCAGACCATGCTTAGAATTAAAAGGTTGTTAAGAAGGGAAAATTTTTCTGGAAGGAACTGGGAAAACCTGGATCACCCTTGCATGAGCCATAATACAAAGCTCATTATTGAAAGATGTATTTTTTTTCCTCCACCCTTTACATTTATCTAACTATTGTTTTCATCAACATTCCAGGCACTGTGTTTTGAAAATAGGGTAGAGTAGACTAAAGTATGAAAATCTGGTTAAACTGATATAATTATTTTCTCAGCAGTGGAAACAAAAATTAAGAGAACGGAACACGCATTGGAAGGACTGTCCAGCTTTCAGCTGAGAAGTTTTCCAAGAGAGTCTCTGGACCAGTGAAGACAAGAAGTGGTTGATTTTTTTCCCCCAGTAGCTTTCTGTGTGGATTCCCTGCTTTGAAAGGAAAAGGGAAATCTGTTTATCCCTCATATTTTTTTTGCTCAGTTTACTAAGTATTTAGCATAGTATTTCTTGCTACTTGTTTTTATTTTATCTGCTATATTACTGGAATCCTTGGAAACTGACTATTTTGTGAGCCAGGAGTCATTGGTGGTTGATCTTTCAAAGTGTCTTGAATTGAAGGTGACTTCTGCAMTGTATTTCTAGAATCTATTCCTATAGTGTGTGTGAAAGGCTTTGAATTTAACAATGAATGTTTTGTTGGAATGCTGTTGGGGGAGAGACATTCTTATTCTCATTCTGCCCATGGAATAGAAAATATTTTAGTGTGTTTTCTTGGATGATATGTTACAGAATTTTTTAACTCTTGACCCCTGTATGCTATTTAAGTTATATATATATTAGAAAGCTGGGTGTGTCATACAATAATGTGTAGAATATATTTCCTTATTTGGAATTTCTAAATGTTTAAATTCAATAAGGAATAATATATTCTCTTCCTATGATTTTAGACATTTGGTGTCTTCTTAGTATGGCATAATGTCATGACTTACTCATTAAATTTTGATTTTGTATGCTATTTATTAACTATTTTATTAGCACAACTGTAATCCAGTCATTAAATACTTGTTTAGAATAGATGAAGACAAGAAACAGGTATTATAGTTTTTATAGGAATGCATTTTTTTTTAGTTTTTCTAAGTAAAAAGCAAACTTAACATCAATCTATACTCTGAAAGTTTTGAAAACGTGTTTGACATATTTAAATACAAATTCATCATTTGGTCATCCAAATATATATACTATTGCTAAGATATTTACATGCTGATAATGTATCTTTTAAAGGTTTTGACCACTTTGTTAAAAGTATATATACATCACATCCACTATATTAAAATTGCACTTTATTTTTTAACTATGTGGCTCATTTGTTTATAATACTTATGGGGGGAGAAAAAAAATAAAAGATTTCTAAACTTCACTCACTTTGTTTCTTCTTTCTTATAGAGTTACAGTGAATTGTATTTATCTATAATTCTTCATTATTCAAAAACTTAATTCTGCTCCTCTCTGGCTTACAGAGAGGGCCCTCATTTTCTCATGCTGATGCATCAGTTCAACTTTCTCCAAGCTCCAGTAAAGCCTTCCAGTAAATCCTTTGTGATATCAATAGGTCCTGGCATCTATAGAAAACACAAAAAGGATAAGGCTTCCCTATCTGCAATTCTTAACTAGCTTCCTACTATAGTTTGGATCTCAAAAGCCCATGTGTTAAAGACTGGGTCCCCAGTTTGGCACTCTTAGGAGGTGGTAGAACTTTAGGAGGTGGGTCTAGTGGGAAGTTGCAGATCATCAGGGATATGTCCTTGAAGATGGTTTTAGGATCCAAGCCCCTCCTTTTCCTCTCTTTTTCATACCCAGCCATGAGGTGAATAGCCTCTTTTGCCATGTGCTCCCACATCACAGACTATGCCACTACAGGCCCMAAAACACCTGGGCCAATTGGCCATGGACTGAAAGCTCTGAAACTCTGAGTCAAAATAAACCTTTCCTTTTTTTAATTTCATAATCTCAGGTATTTGTTACAGTAACACAAAGCTGACTAATATAGTCCTTATTTCCTAGATGCTGCTAAGCATGGCTAATGAAGTTCTGTCTCATCTCACTGCTGATTATTACTTCAGCTTTACTTCTTCCTCACATTCTTTGCAGTCAGGCATTTAGTTCCCTAACACAGCATGTTTGTTCTTGGGTCCATGCCATTTTTTATTGCACTGCCTGTAAGGAACTTGTCTCATTTTTGCCTATAGGAAGATAATTACTCATCCTTTAGAACTAAGCTCAAGCAATACCTTTTTCATGTAGTTTTTCTTGCCATTGCAAGCAGAGCTCCTGTTTTTCACTTTGATGTTTCCATAGCATCTTCTAGATGTCTGAGTTATAGCAAAGATTGCATTGCTATTATTTGTTTATAGGTCCTTTCGCCCTAGTATTCTGAGAACTCCCCTAGAGTATCACCTGTATTTCATCCATCTCTGTATCGCCAATGTGTGGCACAGAATGATGGYATTAAATTAGGAACTTTTCCTGACCCAAGTTACCCTGTAATGTACTATCTGGCTTATAGTAGGTGTTGATTAACCTACTCTCTTCTCCTTGTCTTCAGGTAACCCAACAAGGAAGGGCTTTGTCTTATACAACTTCTTCATCCTGTAACACACACCCCTCACTTTCATAATAACTCCCATCATTCCTCTCACTTCCTCCATGCATCCTGACCCTTCCTCCTACCAGATTGAGATTCCTTGCTTATCTTGTCTTTTTCCTTTTTGATATTTTCTCACCAAAGTGACTATTGACTTTATGGAATCTATACGCAAGTAGTTATGGTGTTAGTGTTGATCTATTTCAATTACACAGTAATCTCCATGAGGACAAGGACAGTGTTTACTGCTGTTTTTAGGACAGCACTGAACACACAATGGGTATTTAAATAGATGAGTAATTGAGACTAAACAAGCCCTACTGTCTTTTTAGTGCTAAATAGTAATTTCATATAAATATCCCATTCTTATGACAAGCAAGAAAGGAAAAGAAGGAGACTAACTAATATAAACACACACACACACAYAYACACACACACACACACACTGCAATTGCATTAACATATATACTTATATTGGCATATATTTATTTTAGTAAGTACTAATATTATTAACATTTATATCTAACCTAGGTTTTCCTGTAGCTTTTGCTCGCTCATTATATATAAAATATAATTTAGATTAATGAATTTTCTATTATTACATATTGATATAGCTATATAACAGAAAGAGAGAGAAAGAAACAAAAAGATACAAGTTATGGAAAAATCTGTTATACTTTCAAGAAGATGGGTGACAAATTTTCCAACAATATAGAGAAGAACAAAATGGCTCTAAATTTTAAGAAAACATTGAACTTAAGTGGTCTCTTTCTTTTCTCAAATAGTACCTTTTTKGGGGGGGGATCCCATGAATTTTAGGAAACACACAAACTAAATTATCATAAATGTTTGAGTTCTAAAATTTGTTATACTAAAATTTGTTACATCAAACACTTATTGAATAAATGTCTGAGAATAACAGATGCAAGCATATTAAGTGACYGTTAGGTGGTAAAATAGAAGTTTTGAGAGCAAATAAAGATTACTAATTCTTTTTTGCTTCATCATCATTTCAAGGTCTTTGTTTCTCCCAGTAGCAAGATTTAAAGTTAAGTTTATATACAGACCATAGAATAAGACCTTGTTTCTAATATTTTTGCAATTCTTGTTGTCATGCCCATTCTGTAAAGAAGAAAAAAATRCATTACAGTGTATTACCAAAGTGCAACCTGTGCAAGCACCCCAATGACAGCTACTGGTCACTATTTCTATCATTACTACTTGATTATTCCACTGGCAAGCCCAAGAACTACTGTATCTGGGGAAAAGTAATCTAATGTATGTCTTCTAGGGATGCCTTCTAGGTTCCTCATAATGACTCCTAAGTACTATTTTCATTGTCTTATCCACCTGAAACTCTCTCTCATATGTGAAATCACTTGGAATTAAACAAGTGGTTAGCTAAAATCTACTCTGCGTGATTGGACCCAATTCAGACAATTTTAAGTGTATAAGATCCTTCATTCATTTTACCATTCTTGCCTCTGGGTGTGACACATTCACTTAATCCCTCAGTTCCCGAAGGTCTGACAAGATCTATGGTCAAATATGACTAGTGGCTTTGTTTTTCTTAGTTTAAATTATTGCATGAGGAAAAGAATTGCTGTGGGTAACTCTTACATACATCACCTCAAAAGACCTTCCTGGATGTCACAAAATGAGAACTTTGACAAACAGAATGGGCATGACTAAATCCAGGAAGAAAAGCAGAGTGTGTGTGATTCTGATTTTGGCTGATGATCCTGGTTTACTCTTAGTCAGCAGAATTACTATATTTCTGGGAAGGATTGTTGATACATCAAATATGCAAAGAGGGATAGTGACATAGGACAACCTAAAGTTTAGATCTAAAAATTCATTTCTACAAATTCTATTCTATTTCAATACAGAGAAATTGCAAAAATACCCGACTCCTGCTTTGCAAAATCGCCTTGCCACATAAATTTATGTTTATTTCTGATCCACTCTAGGATTGGAAAAAGCAAAAAATAATTGATTCATTTTCGGGAAGGGGATAGGTATTCTTTACAGTTTGTGATGCAGCACAAAGTTGGAGCAGTTGTCTTTTAAATCTAGTTCTGGGGCTGGGGATGTGGCTCAAGCGGTAGCGCGCTCGCCTGGCATGCGTGCGGCCCGGGTT